TTTATTTACCTGTTGATTAGGGCCGGGAGGAAAGTATTGTTGGGTTGGTTCCCTACCTGCGTTTTCCCTCCCACCCACCCCTTTGCATGCATTTCTGGGTTGGTACAGTGCCACGTCAGCAGTGCCATGTCAGCAACAGTGCCACGTCAGCCACAGTGCCACGTCAGCAGTGCCACATCAGCAACAGTGCCACGTCAGCAGTGCCATGTCAGCAGTGCCACATCAGCCACAGTGCCATGTCAGCAGTGCCACAGTGCCACGTCAGCAGTGCCCCGCCACCATGACAGGCTCAGCTCTGGGCATGCCAGGCCAACTGGCCAACGAGTCCACTGCCGAGTACAAACAACGGTTCCAGACTCAGCTCGCACTGATCGAGGCTGAGGAACAGCGCCAGGTGGCAGCCGAGGCTGTCCGCCTACAGGCTGAAGCGGCGGCAACAGCTGAGAAACAGCGACTTCAAGCCGAAGCTGAAGCAGATACCCATGCACGCCGCAAGGAGGCCCAGGATCTGCTACAGCGGCATGAAGCCACCAGCATAGAAAAGCTCAAGTTTTGGCACTTTGAACCTTCCGAGGAGCACGACGACGCGACACCGGAGGAGCAGCATAAGGAACTTTTGGCCAAGCTCGTGACCCGGTTGGTTTACACCTGTAACCACCTGCAGTCCGAGCTGGCGAATCTCCAGAGGGCCGTGCGGAACCACAAGGCTCAGCACGAGGATGCAGCACGGGCACTTGATTCCCGTGTACAGGACTTGGAGCAAACTGCACCAAGACTGGAGGCTGGTGAATCCAGCAGTGCACCCTCTGCCCGCCAACTAGAGGAACGCGTCGATCACGTAGTAGCAATGCTAGGTGATATTAACACCTTCACAGCGCCAGCCACCATCAGCCAGCAGCTGGACACACTGAAGACCGAGATCAGGCAGCGACAACAGCCGTCTGACCCCGATCACAGCACCAGCACGGCGAAGCATTACAAGATGCCGACGTTCCGGATCGAGAAGTTTGATGATTACACACATCAAGACCCGGTCGTCTGGTGGCAAGGATTCACAACGGAGTTGGGGATCCATGAGGTCCCCGAACATCTGTTCATCGGCGCACTGTTCCTTAACGCCAAGGGAGGATGCCAGATCTGGCTCAGCCATATGGCAACCGTCCACGGCGTCCAGGTCTTCGACCTACACAAGAAGGTCTCCTGGGAGGATCTGACAAAAGAATGGAAGAAGCGGCTCATTGTGGACGTCGCCCCGGCGCTCGCCATCAACCGCATCTTCACGATGGCTCAAGGAAACACAGCGACACGTGATTGGCTCATGGATTGGCAGATGATCGTGGCAACGCCCGATCTGGACTTGCCATTCCCGCATCTGCGCCGGGAGTTCTACAACCGGTCATGCGCCGCTTTGAGCCTCGCGCTTGGTGATCGCGAGCCGTACAACACCTTCGCCGAAATCATCAACAAGGCGAGGGAGATCATCAAGACAAACAGGGCGGCTGCACACGAGAAGTCAACGTGGCAGCCAACCTATGTGGAGAAGGTGAGAACTGGTCCACGGCCGCAGCATGTCGCTGCAGTCCAAACGGACAACATTGTGGAAGACCCGACAGCCACCCAAGCGTCACGTGAGGGAGATCAGGTGGCTGCTGTCCAGCCACGAAGCAACAACAAGTCCCGAGGAAACGGGAAGGAGAAAACCGCATCGCCGGCCGGAAACGGACAGCCAGCACCATGGGTCAAGTTTCACTTGACCGAGGCGAAATACAAGTGGCGCGGCCGCTACGGCTGCTGCTATTGGTGCAACAGCACCAAGCACAAGACCTCCCAATGCCTAGATCAAGGCAAGGAGGATGTTCGGCCTTGTATCAACTCGGGAAACTGAGTTAGGCGGGAGGTGAGGCAACTCCACCTCTCACTCCGCCAGATTCGGCCGCCTTGCTAGCGGCCTCCTACACATCTGGGGAGGATGCGAATGTCGCAAGTTCTCGGTACACTTACGAGGACTATGCTGTCCACTTGGTCCCACCGTTGGACCAACCGCTCCACGTGCAACAATCTACCGCATGCACGGTTTCACCACCATCGGCAACCGATTCGGCAGCTTCGCCGCCATCTATCGCCGGGGATTCAACGTCATGGTCAAGACTTGAAGAGCTCGACCCGTTGCTGTTTGCGGACTTCCAATGGATGCCCCTTCCTCAGTCCGGTCGATTGCCGAAACTGCATTGCAACGTGCTCATGGCACAATTGCGGGATTACTTGCACACTGCAGTACCAACTCCGTTGATGAACGCCGGAGTAGAGGTTGTCGACCTTCACGACTACATTGCGAAGATCGACCGCGAGTTCAAAACACAACGGTACGACGACATCGACGCACCATTGTTATATGTACGCATTCAGATCGGAGAGGCGACCTGCAGCGCTTTGATCGATTGCGGAGCATCTCGCAATTACATGACACAGGACTTTATGGTACGCGCCGGCCTTGGCCCACGCGTCCGGAGGAAGTCCCAGCCTACGCAAGTCACGTTGGCAGACGGTCACACGCACAAGTCAATCGACCGGTGCATAGATGACGTCCCCGTGTACTTTGCCCCGCATGCAAGCGAGGCGGTGTCCTTCAATATCTTGGACACCAAATTCGACATGATCTTGGGCATGTCATGGGTGCGAAGCAAGGATCACCCAGTGAACTTCTACCGCCGCACCGTTCACGTTCGTGATCGGAACGGAGTACTAGTCCCATGCACGGTGGCTCCTCCTCACCCTTCGATCAGCTGCCACGTGGTGTCCGCCGCAAGCATGCGAGCTTCCATCATCAGAGACGACATCGAGGAGATGGGGGTGTGTTTTCTCCACGCCCTCCCGCCCCATGACGCTTCATCGACGGACTCATCTTCGGACCCACGCATCACCGAGCTTCTCGACACCTACGGCAACGTGTTCGAAAGCCCGCACGGAGTAGTGCCGGATCGACCCATCCGCCACGAGATCATCCTCGAGGACGAGGCTGTACCTCCGCGCGGTTGCATCTACCGAATGAGCGAGGAAGAGTTAAGTGTGCTACGGGCACAACTCGACGACCTTCTGGAGAATGGCTGGATTCGGCCTAGCTCATCGCCATACGGTGCTTCCGTTCTCTTCGTCCAGAAGAAGAACAAGGATTTGCGGTTGTGCATCGATTATCGCAAGCTCAACGCGCAAACGATCAGAAACGCCGGCCCTCTTCCACGCATCGACGACCTCCTCGAACGGCTGGGCGGCGCCAGGTTCTTTTCCAAGCTTGACCTCAAGTCGGGATATCACCAACTCGAGATTCGGTAGGAGGACCGCTACAAGACCGCGTTTAAGACGCGATATGGGCATTTTGAATGGCTGGTTATGCCATTTGGCCTTACGAATGCCCCGGCCACTTTCCAAGCGGCTATGACAACGAAGTTCCGACACATGCTGGATCGATTCGTACTTATCTACCTCGACGACATCCTGGTGTACAGTTGGAGTTTGGACGAGCATGTGGAACACCTGCGCACCGTTTTGGAGCGGCTACGACAAGCCAAGTACAAAGCCAACCGCGACAAATGCGAATTCGCGCGGTAGGAGCTGGAGTACTTGGGACATTATGTGACGCTGCAGACACCCGTCCGCTTGCAAACAAGATCGAGGCCCTCCGCGTATGGCACGAGCCCACCAACACCACGGGCGTTCGTTCATTCATGGGGTTGGCGGGCTACTATCAACGATTCATCACCGAATACTCGAGGATTGCCACACCTATGACGAGATTACAATCGGCAAAGGTGCCATTCGTATTCGATGACGACGCACGCCGGTCATTCCAAGCACTTAAGACGGCCATGCTCATGGCACCCGTCCTTAGCATCTATGACCCCACCTAGCCTACGAGAGTGACAACTGACGCTTTCGGCTATGGCATTGGGGTAGTCTTGGAACAACACGACGGCAACGACTGGCACCCTGTGGAGTATTTCAGCCACAAAGTGCCTCCCATCAATTCACTTGATGATGCAAGGAAGAAGGAGCTGCTCGCGTTCGTGATGGCTCTCAAGCGATGGCGACACTTCCTCCTTGGGCGTCATAGGTTCACATGGGTCGCGCACAACAATCCATTGACCTACTACAAGACGCATGATACGGTGAGCAGCACGATCGGACGATGGATGTACTTCATCGACCAATTTGACTTCGCACCGAAACATCTCCCCGGCCTCTCCAATCGCGCAGCAGATGCACTCTCGCGAAGACCTGATCTTTGCGCTATGACACATCATGCCTTCGCATTCGACGAGGAACTCCAACAACACTTCATCCGGGGCTATGAGTCGGATCCGGACTTCGCCACCTTGTATGCGCAGCTATCTTCGGATCACCCGCCGGCCAGCCACTATCGCATTGCCGACAGGTACTTGCTCCTCCACTCGAGAGGCAAGGACTTACTATGTGTCCCACGAGACCGTCGTCTTCGGACTCGCCTTCTCGACGAGTATCATGATTCGCGACTCACCGGCCATTTCGGAGTCAACCGCACCATTGCACGGCTTCGACAACGATTCCGATGGCCCGACCTCATTACCTTTCACTCGGTATTGCGACTCTTGCGAAGTTTGCCGACGAAGCAAGCCCCACAATCGCAACCCCTACGGCGAGTTGCGCCCGATGCCTATCCCACGGGAACCCGGCCTCTCCATTGCCATGGATGTCACCGGACCATTTCCCCGCGATCGCCTCGGGCACTACGGCATCCTCACAGTTGTGGACCGTTTGAGTAAGTACGCGCATTTTCTCCCTTGCAAGTACTACTCCACGGCTCCCGAGCTGGCACGCCTCTTGCACACCGGCTGGATTTGTGGCCACGGTGTACCGGAAGACATAGTCAGCGACCGCGACACTCGCTTCATGTCGGCATTTTGGACTGCTCTCATGCAGGAGTCCGGCACGAAGATGAAACCAAGTTCGGCTCGGCATCCACAGACGGACGGGCAAACGGAGCGGGCACATCAAACCGCTCAAATGATGCTTCGTACGCTCATCCGTCCGGACAAGAAAGATTGGGTTGACCGCCTCCCCGACATCGAGTTCGCCTACAACACTTCGATGCACCCGACGATCGGCGTGACTCCATTCGAGTTGCACCACGGTGGACAGAAAGGCCGTATCTTCGCCGACCTTCTCCTCCCACGACCAGCCGACATCGACGCTGCTTGCTCTCCCGCTTCCGTTCGGAAGTACAGGGAATTGCTGGCTCAAGCCCGAGCGAATATGCAAAAGGCTCAAGTTCGCATGCAACAACAAGCCAACAGGCGTCGCGTGCCATGTCCCATCCGCGTCGGTGATCTGGTTTGGGTCTCCGCGGAAGAGTTTGCACTGGAACAGGATGTTTCACGCAAACTGCTTCCCAAGTGGTTTGGACCATGGCCTGTAACATCAGCCGCGGGCGATGAGCCCGATGGCCCTTTATTTGTGATCAACATCCCCCCGCATGTGATGGTCCATCCAGTCTTTCACGCCTCGAAGTTGGCAACATATACACCAGCTAAGAGCGACGACTTCTCGAGCCGACGATCGCAGGACCCTCCATCTATGGATGGTCATCAAGAAGTTGACCGCGTCATCAAGGATCGCAAGTACGGCAGTAAGCCTCAACAGTACAAAGTTACATTCAAAGCATGCGATCCCGACGACACTCGGTGGATTTCAGGAACAGAGTTGAAAGCATCCGCACCGCTGATCTACGCTCACTACGAGCGAAAAGGTTAGCTCAGGGACCTTCACGACCTGCCCCTCCCACCCGGACTGTGGTCCCTCCCTCAGACAGACAGCTTCGCCCTCGCAGGTAAGCTCGGTCTTTCAAGGAGGGGGGGGTGTGGCATACTGCGTAGCCACACGGGCCTGCAGGGCCCGTCCCGCATTCTCAGCCTAAATCCTAGAAATAAGGGCTTACAGGCCCCATGTCATTTCAGCCTGAAAACTGAAAAACAAGGGCCTACAGGCCCTATTTCGTTTTCAGCCTAAAACAGGGCTTTTCAGCCCTGAGGCTTTTCAGCCTGAAACGGAGGGCCACTTTCGGGCCCTCATAAGATCGACCTGCCCTAACACTCAGGCACAAAACCAGGGTTTCGGGAACAGGCTATTTCTGGCCTTTTCCCATGACAGCCTCAAGCAGGAGCTGCAGCGGCAGCCCCTGACTCCCTTCGGCATTGGCAAGAGCAGCCTCCTGGACTGCCTCGCCCTGCAGTCAGGAGGCAGGTCGAGAAGTACAAAGGGAGTTCCCATGCACTTCACGGGCAGGTAGTTGGACAGAAGGCAGGAGTAGTCTTCAGGATCCAGCCGCAGCACTCAGGAGGAGCGCTGCAGGAGCAGCTTAGCGCTAGCTGTAGTATTCAGCGCTAGGCGCTAGTAGTAGTAGCAGTAGTCTTCTTCGGCTAGGGCGCTAATAGGTGGTAGTAGTAGTGTTTGGGAGAGATGGCTGGCGGAGGCCAGTGAGACTTACCTGTGGCGCCATAGCTCCGACTCCATCTTCGAGGTACCTGCATCAAGGCGCCAGCTTCACAGGTTAGTACCGGACTGAGAGTGTTACATCTTCAACGCCACACGGGTCCTACCGGACCCGACTTAGGGCCTAAGGGACACAGTAGGGCCTAAAGGCCCGGACTTCGCCGTAAAGGCCACGTTTTTGGACCAGACCGACGGGCAGGCCCAAACGACATTCTCGTTTTGGGCCTGGCGGTGCTTTTGAGCCTGCCGCCCGCCGATCTGATCTGAACCATCGATCTCGACGGTTCAGGTCACGGCCAGGCCTCGCAGCACTGAGGCCGGCCTCTTGGCCACCGGTACTTATACCGGTACCAGCCTCATTGTGAGGCGTCGAGACACTGGCATGCTGCATCAGCACCAGTGCGTATCGGTTGAGGCAGCAGCGCTATTCTTAGCGCAGGAGCGAGGCAGCATCAGCGGCAGCAGCGCGAGCTAGCACAGCAGCACCGACGAGACAGGAGCGAGGCAGCAGCCCTCAGCAGTACGTCGGCCATAGCCGCGACCTGCAGTCGGACTGCAGCACAGCCAGGTACCAGGAGGCGAGAAGTCTTCTTCTCCCTCCACGGCTACCGGCTCTCCCCTCCTCATCTCCTCCTCATCTCCTCATCCTCTGCCATAACTCCCTTTCCTTCTTCTTCTTCTTCTTCTTCTTCTTCTTCTTCAGACTTCATCTTCTTCTTCTTCTGGATGGAGACTTGGTACTAGTTGGACAGAGATCATTGTTGGACTTCGGTGGTAAGAGGTTGTGGTACTTACCGGGTTCGAGACTTGGAGATTGTTGGGGATGATACTCGGTTGCATCACAGATTGGACACCGGTTACATTAGGACTCTGTATCTCCGACATTGGTGACTTATTGTCCACGACATTTGATCTTGTTCGATGACATTTTGGACTACCATATCGGTGACCTACTGGTTTCTATCTCGGTGACATCTGGTGCTACTTACATCTCCCACCTCCTTCGTCTCTCCTCCCACCTCTCATCTGTGTATGTTTGTACAAGGCTTGAGCATCGTCTGTGCTTGGCTCAGACCCCAACATCTCACGATTGTTTGTGTGTGGAGTGATATCTGTGCGAGTCAGTCCATTATCAGACTTCCACTGCATACATGCTCATCCTATCTTGGTTGATCTTTGGTTCTGCCCCATACTCGTTGAAGTATTCACGAGTATGCAACAGAGAGAGAGAGAGAAAGAGAGAGAGAGAGAGAGTTCTTCTTCCTCTTCTAAGTCCACCATCTCTTCTTCACCCTCTCACTACCTGACTTCTCAGTATCAGCGGACTACGACAGAGAGAGAGAGAGTTGTGACTTGAGACTTGACGACATTGGATCCAGACT